CTGCTGTGTAGATGTTAAACAGGGTGGGAGCTAGGACAGAGCCTTGTGTTACTCCATTCATGAGTCTCTTGTAATGACTTGTCTTTCCGCATGATGTACTCAAGGTAAAGGAAAGATTTGAGATCATCCCCATGATGAAGTTAACCAGACTTACGTCTGGTAGTGTGGTAAGTAGCTTATACTGAAGGCAAAAGCCACTACAGACTATAAGATCTGTAATAGAGTTACAAAGTTCGTGTTGATTTTTTTCTCTTTTTTTTTTTGAGCTATTCCTGAAAGGGCATGGCAATGAGAGGTAGTAATTGCTCCTGCATTTAGATTATTTAGTCATTTTGGTTGTAGAGGGTTTTCGTGAACCTTTCATAAAAAATATAGTCCTTCCATTGTAAGAAGCAGATGTGACAGGATCCACCTTAAAGGACAACCATGGCACCTCCTTGCAGCTAAATTAGTCCTTCCCAACCCACTCCCGAGGCTGCCACTTTTTATCTGGGGGCTGGACTCAATGATCTTCTGAGGTCCCTTCCAGCCCTAATGTCTATGAAATCTTTACCTGCTATGTTTTTGGATGATATATGTATGTTTGGAAGGCTGCCCCTAGAGTAGGTCTTGGGTGCTTGCGTTGACTGGTCTCAGCTACTTGCTTCCCTAGTCTTTCTGTCTCTTCTATATGCCCCTGGCTCTGGCTCAGCTCTTTGGGCCTATAAGCCTTGCTTAAAAAACAAAACAAAGCAAAAAAAAAACAAACCAACACATCTTGTGTCTCTCTGGCACTAGTCTTGGTGTCTCCATAGCCATATTCATGCCTTGAGTATTGCTCTTTGCAGCTGGCCCTACCTTGGCTTCAGCCCACTGGCCCCTTAGTCCACAACTCGCAATATGGAGCATCTTCAAGGTCCCCACCATGGCCTCCAGCCTCCCACGTAGCCACTCCCAAGCCTTATGGTACAAAATAGTGAAAATAAAACTTAACCAAAATAGCTAACTTCTCTGTGCCAGGTGTACCCAGACAAGATGCTCTTGGTACCAGCTGTGTGTGGTACTTGTATCTCCCTGCGGATCACTTAATTCAGCCTGTTCTCCATGGGGCTTGTCTCCCTACAACCCTCAGGGCCAAAGTGACCCTCTAGTCCTGGAGCCAAACCTATATACCACTTAACTCCATCCCTCCCAATCACCTGATCCTTGCTTCTAAGAGTCAGGCACGGGGTTCCCATTAACCAGTCTAGGCTTGCTTCTATGCATTCAGTCTCTTTACAAGCAGGCTCACAGTTTTGTGGCTAGCTATTCGCAATCAAGCAGCCTCTGTGCTGTCTTCATAGATTTCATAGACATTAGGGCTGGAAGGGACCTCGGAAGATCATCGAGTCCAGCTCCCCACCCAAAGGGCAGGAAGTCAGCTGGGGTCATAGGATCCCAGCAAGATAAGCATCCAATTTGCTCTTGAAGGTGTTCAATGAGGTGTTCAATGTAGGTGCTTGAACCACCTCCGATGGCAGGCTGTTCCAGACCTTGGGGGCTCGGACAGTAAAGAAATTCTTCCTTATGTCCAGGCTGAAAAGGTCTCACAGTAGTTTATGACCGTCTTACAGTACTTAGCTCTGGTGCTTGGCCATATTCTGTTGGGCACAAACAGAAATGACATTCGTCATTCAGTCAGCCCCTTGAAATTGCTCTAAAGCCATGCCCAAACAGAAGAGCTTGGCTGCAGAGTCCTCTGATCACATGGCAAATTAGCTCTCATTGTCTGCTCCTAAGTGGAGTGACTTTATTAATTTCTGTCTGCAGCACAACAGCACAGCTGCTGTCTCTGGATGGGAGGGGGAGAAGCCAGGGGAGGGAGGTCCACTCACCTTGGCAGGGCTCCAGTCTACCTGTCCTCTCTGCTTTAGCAGGGCTGGGAACTCTGGAAGACCTCCATCCCTTAACTTCTCCCCGCTCCCATCCAGAGACAGAAATGGAGCTGGGAGAGAAGGGGCATGGAGCCAGGGGAAGATACAGCCTCTCTCCCTGGATCAGCTTCAAATTGGAGCCGATCCTCCACCCTCCTGGTCCAACAGCTAATGTCTGCTGGATCAGAGGGATCAGTTTGACTCATGGTGATTTCTATGAATTGTCATGAGTTAGATCCAAATGCTGCACTTCTGTCTGTGCCCCTTGTCTACTTACTAGCAGCATTCTCAGCTTTTGCTGCTGCCACCTTTTAGCCCATTGCCTGGAGCCCACTTTTTTAAACCTCTTTTTAGCCAGTTTTCTTGAGGTACATGGCTTACAGCTTTGGAGCTGTTACTCCATTTACCTTTTTGGCTGCCTGTTTATCCCTGCTGGCCCCAGCCAGGTGTCTGTCTTCTATTAAAGTAACCAGGGGGTAGAGGCCCCCTGTTACAGCAGAGCTTTGAAATTCTTCAGGAAGAAAGCCCCTGGATTACAGAAGTACCTTTTCTTTGTCTCATGGATTTTTGTTCAGGTGTTGCTAACATACAGATACAGACACTGTGGTTTTTCAATGTGTGTCATTTGTGTTGCTCAAAAGAATTTTTGCCAGTATGTCAAAATAATTGAATATGAGCATTCCATGGCTAAGCCCATGTCTTCCCCTAAGTAGCAGCCTTGGGCATTACACTAGAAATGTCTGGAAGCTGCTGAAGCAGCTGTAGTGGTGTGATTAGGAGGACAGAGCCGTGTTGAGCTTGGCCTTCCAGGGCTAACTCCATTAAAGAGTTTGGCACCAAAATGGTTAGTTGAGTACTCTTAGGTTACAAAGTCATTCTCTCTTTTTTTTTCTCTGTCCCAATAAAGATCTAATTATTCAAGGTAGGACAGATACTCTCCCCTCCAGATTATTTCTACTGTGGTCTTTAGGGCATTCTGCAGGGAAGTGGGAAGGTGTTGATTTCAGTCCCCCCTCACGCTGAGGAGGGAAGAAAACAGGTATCACTCAGGTCCTGAGGGAGTGCTCTACCTGCTGAGTTTGTTGTGTTTTTTTTTTTAAGTTCAAGCTCTACCTCTCTGTAGCTGTTTGTGTGAAAAGTTCAATCTGTTAAAAAGATGTCTGAGAGATGGAGAAATGTCAAATATGTGGATCCAGAAGGGGGCTTCAGCACTGTCAGAACTGAGATGTTTTGGGCATGTCTGTAAGTGGATCTTAAAGTGCCTAGGAAACTTCACTGATGAAAACTGAGGTATACAGGGATGTTATGAACCTTCAGGGATAGGCAGCAGTTAAGTGGGCATTTTAAAGTTTACAGCTTTAGATTTAGGCATCTAAATGATTTGTGGTTCTTGCCCTGACTTACTGTGTGGCCTCAGGCAAAATGCTTCACTTCTCAGGCTCAGTTACATGGTCTGTAAATTATAGGAAGCAATATATTTATGGCACTAATGCTATACAAATTAATTCTTTGTAGAATGCTTTGAAGATGGCCAGTGGAGTTTCATCCATAGGTTGTTTTTGTATACTGCACACCTGAAAATGTTTTTATTTTCTTAATAAGAACAAGTTGTTAGCAATTTAATATATATTAAATTATTTAATTTTCTTCTAGGAACTTGAACGAGAAATTACTTTTCAGGGTGACAGCGCCATTTATTACTCTTTTTATAAAGACTTGCTAAAGGCTCCATCCTTTGAAAGAGGTATGACAAACATCTATGTTTTTTTAAGTTTACAAAGTCACATTTCCCTTTTCAGAGAGTTTCTCTGAGACCTATATAGGAGTATAAAACCAACCTTTTCACTCTGCAGGAGTTTTTAAACTAAGAGTCAAGTGCTAATCTAACATTTTCAGACCTCCTCTAAAACATGCCTGCCCACCCTAGATACCTTTGAACTACTTAATACATGTGTAGCCTTGATTGATGAATCTTATTTTGACATTGAACTGTATGGCTAAAAATTCATTTGAAGTGCTTTAAATTTTTTCCTAATTTGAAGCATTCCTAAGTTGGGCTGCTTTAGGACTATAGAAATACACAGGCCTGTCCCAGTTAATACACTTCATAATGTGCTGGAGCTGATGCTCTTATTCTGTTCCACAACTAGGAGGCTGATGAGCAGGTATTCTAGCGTGCCTCTTAACCACAATCCCTGGAGGCTTCGGAAAACAGCTGGGTGGCAACAATAAAGCCTAATAAGTATTTTGCCACCCAGACTTCTGCTTGGTGCTTCCTGCCATTGCTGGGCTGGTCAGTTTCATGTGCATTGCCTTCCCTGTGGAAACAGAATGGATGTATTCCACCTCCTTAATCTGCAGTCTTTGGCCTCCTGATCCTACTTATAGCCCTCTTCCATTATGTCTGCCATCTGGTGTGTCACTTAATGGAAACTCAAAGCTCCATGATCTTGGTACTTGAAAGGTTCCTTCTTGAGTTAGGCTATGTATAAGAGCCAGAGAAGAAATAAATGAGTCCATGGAGGACAGCTTTCTCTATCTCTTCAGATTGTGTATTGTTGCTTCTGGGCCCAGAAGCAACAAGTGTTGATTGCTGGGAGCAGATAGTCCTGAGCACATTGTATGTAAAGCAGTGGCAGCAGAACTGCAGGATGAGCAAGGCCAGCTTCCTTGGTCTGCACAGAGCTTACTCTATTGCTCTAGGGGCAGGTCTCCAATACAAGGGTGCCCAAGAATGTGAAGAAGTGGCTGGCAACTGCTGCTTGGAAGCTAGCAATCTGTGATAGTCTCCAGTTTTACAGAGGCATAACAGAGCAGCTCCATACCCTTGTCAGCTTTGCATGGGGCAGAGCTGGCTGTTGTGCTGTTGGGGAGCAGCTCCTTTCTCCTACCTCCCAAAGGCAGTGCCCAGGGCTGTTGCTGTGGTCATTCCCCCACACTTATGACACTACTGCCAGCTGGTCACCAGCCACTTTGATGCAAGCAAGTCCATAGCTGCATTGGCCTTACAGGTGATATGACACACTGTCCAGAAGGTACAAGAGCCATGCTTCCTGTGCCTCATAAGCCTAAAGGAAATCCTAGATAGATTTGCCTGGGTGGGCTTTTTAACTTGTGTGGGGGCCAATTAATGGCAGCCAATTTCCCAGTGCACTGGTACTTGGAGTAGATTAACTGCAAGGGGTACTTCCGCATCTTGCTGCAAGGCATTGCAGACAACTGGGGGTAGTTTACCCACATAGCTACAGGATGGTTGGTCAAAGTCTATGATGCCTGGGTCTTTAAGAACTCAAGCATGGTGCCCCTGATAATGGGGAAGCATTTTCCCCTGGTGTGCCCATCATATAGTTGGAGGGGTTGAGTGTGTATCATTTCCACCTTGGATACCTGCTGCTCCTATGACTCATGAATCTCTGTGCTAGAAACTTGGATCTTTGGAAGGAATTCTTCAACTACTGGCTGAGTAGCTGCTGATTAACCATTGAGTGTGCCTTTGGACAGCTCAAGGCAGGGTAGAGGGCATTGGGTGTGCATCTGGACACTAGCATGTGGTACCCGCTTTGGATAATTGGGCGTGCATCCTGCACAACGTTTGCTAAGCCAGGGGCAGGGTCTTTCCAGAGGTCTGGGTAGTGGAAACCGAGAGGATTGTAAGCTGATATGAGGTCCTAGAGGCTGAGCCTCTTGAACGCTCCAACCATCAAGGCATTCTCATGAACTACATCCAGTGACTTGTGGCTCATTTGGGAGGAGGACACAATTATAAAGCCCAGTCAGATACAAAAGGACAACTCATTTTGAAATGGAAAACACTTTTTAAGTATTTAGTTGCTGTTTTCTGTGCTCCTTGTGCTTTTGCAAACTGGGGTGGGGTGTGCAGAGGTGAAACCGGGATAAAAGGAAGAGGAAGATGTGCTTCCTAAAAGTGGCCTGTAAGTGACCTAGCCCTGCTATCACTGGTTTAGTGAGGACCCTAGCAGGGGCAGGAGTCCTTAGGGGTAGTGTGATGGGATGTCATGCTGTCTTGTTGAAGAGAGGGATTGAAGTGAATGGAGTTCCATGCCATGTTGCTTTTCCCATGAGGTGAAGTGCCCATGGCCCTGTAAAGTCAAGGACTGCTGTTCCTCACCCTGTCTCGAGTCCTCCAAGAATGATTTGGTTTGGAACTCCCTCCCGTGCTGGAGTAGGGGCTCTAGGGTCTTACAGTGTAGTAGGCTAGTGAGGGTGGTTAGCAGGGCTAGCTGAAAAAGTCTCAGGAGCGAGAGTTTGTACTTTACATGAGCACCAAGGCTTGGGGCCTGCTTTTGGTGCAACTGAGCAGGGGAAAATGTCTGGACTGGAGGGGTGGGTGGGAGAAGTGTATGAAAACATGGGCAGAAAGGAAAGGGAGATGTGTCTAGAACATGAAGGCTTGTTCTGTGGTGGAGGGAGAGTTTTTTGGGGGCTTGGTAGACAGCTGTGGCTATAGTATGGAGGTCCAGAGGTCAGTGGTGGGCAGGCCTGGTTTGTGGGGGTATGCCTGGGCTAGTAGAGAGTATACCTGTAGCTGTGAGGGAATAGGCCTGAGCATGCAGGGAGGGTGCAAAAGGGGACTTGACTTAAATACTCTCCATAAATGGGTGCACCTGTTGAGGGTGTTTGAGAGGGACTGTTGTGTATCTCTACACAGAGGTTCTGTATCCGCATGTCCATAGTCTGTTGGTTGTGGCCTTGACATTCTGCCATGCCTGGAACATAGTGGCATACCTGACCTGGGAAATACTCCTCCTCCTGATCAAGTCAGCATACTGATTCTTGTGGTATTCCATGTGCAAATACCAGCCTTCTGCAGCCAGAAGTCGTCTTTCTGAAGATGCTGCCATTTCTGCTAGCATCTCTTCTTCCTTACTACTCTGAGCTGCAGCTTCAGTTTGTATCTTTTGTCTTTGGGCCCTCAGTGGCAGCACCTGTGGGAGCAGTGGTGGCAATAGAAGTTGATTCTAGAATGACAATAAATGGACAGTCTGCCTTTGTTACACTGGCACAACTTGGTGACAGGTGAAAAACTTTTCCCAAAATGTTGGCATTCCTTCTCAGGGCTCTATTTACTGAATGCTCCCAAGATGGTACGCACACCAAGCCATAGGTTTCTCCATGTGGACCCTGGTCCCCTTGTGACTGCCAGATGTGGCTGCTTTGAGTGCTTCCCAGGTTGCAAGCTCAGCTTGGGGAAGGTGACCATCACTTGGGCTGCTGTAGGTCTTTTCCCTGTAATCTGGTCAGTGTTAAAAAGCCATGGTTTGTCCTTGCACCCTGGTGTTCCTCAGTTTTGCAGGCCTCCATTATTTACACTGACATGGCAGTCTTCCATGCCCTGACAGGCTATATGCAAGGTCTCTATTGAAAACCTCATTGCCTGTTCTGTCTTAGTGCTACAGAAAACTGTCTTGCCTCAAGATGTTGCCTCTTTGCAGGGCCAAATAAGTTACAGAGGATCCTATAAGATAAAGGATCAACCTTTCAGTAATGGCTGCCTGAGTACCCCTGAGGAGCTTCACATACCTTTCACTGGTGGACTGGAGTATAATGTGGCCCTCTGACACTTCCCCGGAATGAAAAGTTTGTCAATGCCCAAGTGCTGGTTGTGTGCCATGGATCACCCTGTGGTACTGAAGGATGCTCTGCTTTTTTTTTTGGCAACTGTGTCATCAATTACCTTATCAATTACCCATCCTTGCAAGAATTTTCTGCACCAAAGCTTATATTCTTTTGCTGTACAAAAAATGTGTGCTGCAGCTCTCTATGGACCCCATGGAAATGCTTGCATCAGAATCTGGGATGCTGTCCTTGAGCATCCATGCTGTCTAAGTGAAACTTTTGGAGACCTTCACACCTGCATGTTGCCCTGCTCAAGCTATGACCTAAAGATATTCTCTGTGACTTCTAAAAGTGCGGTATCAAGGACTCAGTAACTGATGGGACAGACCGCTAGTTCCAGCTGTGTGCTGTAAAACCTTATCCTTGGTTCATTCCCATCCATCTGCTTCAAAGACAGCCAAGACCTAGGGAATTGGTTGAGGAGCAGGGTGGGTTTGATTTATATCAAATAGATTTAAATCATGATTTAAATCACTTGTCAGGAAGCCTAGATTTAATCTCTGTTTTCTACAAAAAGTGCATTCTTGTTGTTTGATATCCTTTATTCATTTAACTTTTTGAAACTTGGCACTTTTAGAGAGAGGTAAGGGCTTGATTCTCTGTGCACAAACTTGCAGAGAGATAAGCTGATGGGTAGTTAATCAGGTCTGTTATCTCTCATCTCCATATACTGCAGTTAATAAGGATGTTATCTCAGGAGACACAAATCCAGAGCTTGAGAACTGAAGCTAAGCATCACAGAAATGCTTAATAGGATCTTCTACACTGAGCACTGAGTCCAATTGGGTAGAGTGGTTTTCTTTAATCGTTACTAATCTATAGAGGAGCCTCTGGGAACCCTCTAAGATTGGGCCTCTAATATAGTCCATGGCCTGTTGTTGACTTATTTATAAAACTTCTGTAAAAAAGTTACATGAATATATTGTCTCAAATAGTATATAATTAGAAGTTATAATCCCTATTCCATGATGATATCTTTGCATTTTAATATATCTTAAATTAAAACTATTTTATATAGGGGTTTTTTAAAAGCATCTTAATCAGATATTTTTAATCATATTTTTAAAATAAAAGTAAATATCGATCTTTTTTTGTTTTTTTGTTTGTTTTTATCCACCAGGGCTGGTGGTGTGGGGGGGCATCATAGACTGGTGTACTCACTTGGCTATTTGTGATTTCCAGCACAGCTTACATTTCTGGAAGGAATCTTTCTGCAGGGAAACTTGACTGATGGAGAAGGGGAACCATGATTCATTTACATTTAGTCTTGTTTTGATGGCTCTTTCTCAGGGTCCACTGGGTGCTTTTCTCTTTCCAAGTGGAGTGAGGATCCATGGTCTCAACTCACTTCCAGCTGTTGGAGTGTTTTGTATTTGTAAGCATTTGTGGGTGTTTGAGTACACTGTACTCAAAGCTAAGTTCCTAAGGTGGTCCAGAGAATACTGCCTGTGGTGTGCTTTTGCAGTCAACTGAAAAAAGATGAGCTCACATATGGGACGGTTGCTGGGATCCCAGGGAAGTGGAATTGGGAGCGAGTCCCAGAGCGGCCACCTTAGGGCACTGAGGATGTGGGAGGCAGATCACCAGGGATCCTGGTTATCTCTGATTTAAAAAAAAAAAATCCCCAATTTTCAGGCTAAAAGAGGTAATCCAAAATCCACATTTTTCCTTGGTCAAAACGAAATGTCAATATGGAACATCAAATGTAGTTAGACCATTCCTGGCTGACGTGAGTCTAACCTGTTCTTAAGAACTTCCAGTGAAGGAAGTTCTATATCATTGCTAGCCAGCTTCTTTGGGTATTTCATCATCATACTGATTTTTTTTTTTTTTTTTTTTTTTTTTTTTTTTTTAGAAAACTGAAAGAAGCTTTTGCCAGTTAGATATGGACTTTTAGTTTGAAAGTCAGATTTGTTTAAAAAAACCAGAAATTAATTTATCCTGTCTTCCTCGGAATAAACCCCGTGGAATTACATCTAACACTGTTCATTCTTATTACTTTTTAAATTTAAGTGCAAGTGCATCACTTACTTGCTTTAATAGTCAGGTTTCCTGCTCTCCTGTTTTTAGAGCACTGTTGTTATTATGATTTCTAAAGTGGCATAAATAATTTGAGGATTTTTTTTTTTTTTTGGTCCTTAGGTGTTTATGATCTGACGCACAACAACAAAACAGTATCGCTGAAGACTATTAATGCAGTGCAGCAAATGACCTTATATCCAGAGTTGATTGCCAGTGTATTATATCAAGCATCTGGTAGTGAAGTATGTACATTTGCCCTGCTTTGTTTGTATTGTACTATAATGTGTATGTCAGGTTTTGTATGCCATGTGCAATAAATTTTTTTTACTTGAGTGTATGTGATCTGAGCACAGCATCGGGGTTAAACAGCAACACTCTAAACTGTAGAAAAGCTTGGGCCTCTTTTTCACTCTCCTCTGATCTGCCCATGGTGTCTTCTACCTTAAGCTCTACCACTTGTATTTTTCTACTCTTACACTTGGAAACTACTCTGCAATCTCATCTGCCATGTCTCCACCTTCTTCAAGATCTTTCCTTAAGCTTATTTTTTCACCTACAAATTATAGATCTCACTGCAGTAGGATATTATCAAACCAAAAAATGTAAAATTAGTGAAACATCACTATATATGCAGAAAATGTAAAATCTTCGTCAAAACAGATGCAGGTTTCCCTTGCTTTATGCTGTACATGCATTCGTGGAAAACGGTGCATAACTTGAATTCTCATAAAGGGAAACCACTTTACAATGTAGCAAATAGGGACATGTTCCAAGACCTTGACTGTACTGACCCCCAGGCCCATTTCTACCACTTTTACAAGACAATTTTGGTACTTCCCAACAGCAGACAGTACGTACAGGCACAGGGCAGTATCATAATGGGGGTGGCCACTACAGAAACACGTGTCACAGACAATGAGTGAGGAGCACAGATCCACACAGGAGACTATATTTTGGTGCGTGTCACTCGTATAATGCACCACACAAAGCGACTGCAGGCTTCCACTACACTAGTTGCATAAGAGTGAATTTACCTTGCATATAACGAATTTTTGGTATAAAAAGGGCCATTCCATACGAGTGAATTCGTACATACAGAACCCACATAAAACAAGGAAAACCTGTATTAACAACTTGATGATGCTAATTTACACTGTCTCCCACCAGAAAAAGAAAGTATTTCCATATTGTATACTTTAATTATAAACTTTAAAGGACAAGGGACCATTTCTTCCTGGTTTATAAAGCAGCCAGCACACTGTTAGCACTACGTACATAGTAAATAGTAGTAATTTACAGTTTCAGCTCAGTTGCCGCTATGTCTCTTCGTTTTTATTTGTAATTTCAGGAAGTTATTGAACCAGTGTATTTCTACATTGGTATAGTTTTTGGACTGCAGGGAATTTATGTGACTGCATTGTTTATAACCAGTTGGGTTATGAGTGGGACTTGGCTGGCAGGAATGCTGACTGTAGCATGGTTCATTATTAACAGGTAAGAAAAACATCTTCTACATAATTTAGATTGTCAGTAAGGCATTCTAACAATATTATTAGAACTGGCCAGTGCATTTTCAGTGAAACTTGTTTTGTTAGAGTACACTTTTGTTGAAGCTGAAATGCAGAGATGTATGGATTTTGATGAAGCTTTTTATGAGCAGGTTTCTGAGATGCAGAGTGGACTTAAGGAGGGAGGGTGTGTGTTTAACCTAATTCTGTTTTGGGTCAGAAATATTAAAATGTTTCTTTTTTTTCTTTTCAATGGAGAAGGAAAACAAATTTTAAAACCTTCAAGGTTGCAAAATACAATTGTCATTCTCTGGCCTGTAATCAGTATCACAACAGTTGTTGTTTTTCTGCTTCAAACAAAATGAATAAATGTATTTGTTTTCTAAAAGCTCTTTTTTTGAATTTGCACATTCATATGCAAAGTAGAGTCCCTTCTTACCTTGACGACCCTGCTATCCAAATTTATTTAACATGTTTCATGTACATGAAAATTCCCCCTGCCAATACAAATTACTGTAAAAGCTGAGAGGTAATTAGCCATGTTAGTTTGAAGTTGAGCAGAACACAGGGTGGAGGTACACCTCATAAACTAACTGAATCAGACATGTATAAAGCTTTCAAGCCATAGCTCACTTCATCAGATGCTATGAAAGGACATGCAGAGAGCCAGCTATCGTATAGCAGTAATGATTAAATGTAAAAGATGGAGAAGTGGGGAAAGGCTTATTTATCTCTGATCCAGTTGGTGTTTAATAGCAGTCAGCAATTTTTTCAGGTGGTGGGCTCGAATGATCCAACAACTCAGGTCGGAGTTGAGCAGATAGACGGGTGCTAGGTCTCAGATCCTGCCACAGCTTCTTTTTGTTTTGGTGGCATGCCTGTGGGAGAGAGCCCACAGTGGCAAGGAGAGAGCCACTGAAGCCCCCACCTATTGATGCCCCATGTCTCTGGGATGGATCAGATGGCTCTCTGGGCCATCGGGTGCCAACCCCTGATCTGAAGTTGCACCTCTACTTTGTTTTCTGTTATAAAAGCTGGGAGCAAAACCTAGTGTTGAAGGAATGAGATCTTGAGTTCTGCTCCTACTTTTCTCTCTGATTTGCTATGTGTGACTTCCTGTATATCTAAGAGTTATTAGCGGTTATTAATCACTTGGAGATTCTTGGAAGAAAAGAACTGTAAAAGTGCAAAGTAGTGTTGGTATATCTGAAGCTGAACTGTTGAGGAGCACATTCTTTGGAAGGTGTAAATTCATCACTGTGGTTGGCAAGTAAAAAAGCTGTTAATCAGCTTGCTGGAAGCAGTGCAAAAAAAAATGGTAATGGTGAATAATCCATTTTTTTTTTTTTCTCAACAGCTAGCAAAATGAAGCAACTTTGGAAATTTGAAGGCTTGAAGTAGATAGAATTCCAAATTGAACCACTGTGAGGGGGTCAACAGGAGCAAAAATTAATTTTCAAAAGTACCTGATATAAGGGAGTATTAGCTGAATAAAAGTGATTAAGCATACTGGAACGTGTTTAGTTAGAAATCAGTAGAAACAAGGCTCTAAATGCTTAAATCGCTTTTGAAAGTTGTGCTAGGGCTTTGAAATAATTTAGGTACTTTTGAAATTGTTACCTTTGGCTCAGGTAGCTTGAATGCTGTCAGGTCACTTTATATGGAAAAATCCTTCCACTTTCCTGCTCTGTGCTTTCCTTCCATCAGTAATCTTCATCTTGTCAGTAATAGTTTCAGAATAGGATAAATTTGCTGTTGTTTTGGTTTAGTAGCACTACTCTAGAGTGTTGATACTTTTTGCATAAAGCAGCTTTGAGCAGTTTGAGAGGGTGCTTTTTCTAAATTATATTATGCAATAGAATCTGTTCTTTCTGTCAAACCATATTTCATTTTAATGTGAAAAGAAGCCCTTATGGGCTCAATCCTATAAACTTTAGTTGTGTGAGAGGTCCAAATAATTTTGGTGGGACTCTCCATTTGATGCTGTTTTAAACTTATAACTATTACTTGTAATGAAATAGGTTTTGCTTCTGATAAGAAACATAATGCATTTAAGCAGTCACAAAAGGAATGGCTTACTAGTAAGGCATCTGTAACTTAGGTTTTCCTTAATGATTTTATTTCATAAACAATTTAATAGTTTTGTTCTTCTGTACTTTGTTTCAGGACAGACACAACAAGAATTGACTATTCTATTCCTTCAAGGGAAAATTGGGCTTTGCCATATTTTGCATGTCAAGTTGCAGCTCTTACAGGCTATTTAAAAAACAACATAAACTCTTCTGCTGAGGTAAAACAAATATAATTTCTTTAAAAAATGCAGTTTGGAGAAGTGTGGTCCAGAGAAGTTATCTGTGTCATCTCATTGTCTTACTAGGCAGAAAAAGAAGTAGAAATTGTTTGCTCTTAGCAAAGCAGCAACCTGAAGCATTTGTGTCACTGCAAAAAGATTCTTCTGTCCTCTAATGCTTTTGGGAAGGTTTGGAGTCTTGTACTGATGCCATCAACTAACTCACTTTTGAGAGTTGTCAATTTTTTTTCTTCATAACGTCTTGAACAGTTTGGCTCTTTTCATCTTACTCAGGAATATGATGGTGGACTTGCTTCCTGTTCCTTTGTCAAGGGAGTTTCTATGGACATGTCTGATCACTGTCTTAAGAATGGCACTTTCTCTCATTAACAAACATGGGGTAAACTTCGGGGGAGGGGATGAGGGAAGAAGAATTCGGCTAACTAAAACATGACTGTGTATCGGTGATTTTGAAGACCTTTTCATTTTCATCTGCAGTACTAAAACACGTAGAAAATAAAACTGCTGCCTGAGAAAATATTGGCTAACATTTAATTAAGTATTTTTGTTCCTTAAACAAGTAATTTCCATTCCTAGTGAACAGATACTTTGGTTTAATAGTTTCTCAGTTTTTAGTGGTAGAAATTCAGCATAATTAAGGTGGTTTTTTTGTTTCCCTAGAGTTTTTGCTACCTGTTGGTGAGTGCTGCAACATACACTTTCATGATGATGTGGGAGTACAGTCACTATCTTCTGTTTGTCCAGGCTGTGTGCCTCTTCCTGCTGGACAGCCTTACTCTGGTACAGACAGAGAAGGTATTTATGACTTGTTACTGCTAATTTTGTTGAAATGTGAATTAAATCTCGCTACAAGGTTGGGATGTTAAAAGGCCAGAACCTGGGGTCTATCTGTAATGTATGTAGTATGGTGACTTTTTCAGTTCACCCTCACATCCTTTTCCTCCTGGACCTCTGTTTTCCTGGCTTAAGTCTGAGGGAAGAGCCTGAGGGATGCAAATGCCCTCAAGGGGCTGAAGGTAAAGCCATGATTTGGTATACAGCCACACCCCCTTTGCTTTGGCCATATCCCCTTTTCCTTGTTAGGTTGACAGCAAGAAGGGCAGTGGCTCTACACTGCTGGAGGAAGACATTTTAAAATGCTGAAGTCCTAAAATTCTAGAGTAGAAGACATTAAGTCACAGTCTTGTATTCCTCAGACTTTTGCACTGTTTTGGAAAATACGGTGTCCCTGTAGCTAATTTTATTTTATTTTTTCCCATTAGGTCCATGAGGTATACAAAATCTATCTGTTTTCTCTCTTCTTGGGATATCTCTTGCAGTTTGAAAATCCAGCATTATTAGTTTCTCCACTCCTAAGCCTTGTAGCAGCTTTAATGCTCTCTAAATGCCTAGAGGTAACAAAAATAACCTTCTGTAATTCTGAGATTTAATTTTTTTGCTTAAACTGAACTCCAAATAATACTAATTTTTAAATTTTAATTGCAGGTGAATATGAAAAAGGGCACCTTTATTTCAAGGCTCCTGAAAATAATGCACTTTTACTTAGTATTTACAATAACAGTGACACTGAATTTTTTATTAAAGGTAAGATTTATCTATTGGAAGAGCTGTTTAATTGGATCATATCATATATGGAGGGATGTGATTATCTTGTCAAAGTAATTTTAGTAAAAAACTTTTCAAGTGATGTGTATCTTGTGCTTCTGGCATTGGACTAAGTTCACAGCATATGGAAGAATTAAAATTGAAGACATTCTTGTTTTATAGGGAAAAACTTCCAATTTGTTCTGATATATCTTTGCTTCTAATAACTCGGGTAGCTATTTTTATTGAAACCAAATGAAAGATCAGGTTTTATGTTGAGACAGAAGCCCAGTCTGTTCTCTCATAGGCATGGATTGCAAATCATATTTTAATTTTTTATTAAACCTGGTTCAGCATCATTTCTCTTTTGAGTTGGATGGCTTATGTAGATGGGGCCAAACATTAAAACACATTTTAGCCTAGGAAATGAGCAAACAACCAACGAGTGACAAGTGTTTGAAGGTGGACAATAATTTTCACTCTTTCTAGAACACGGAAAGGGAAACTATGCCTTGATGGGAGTCTCAAAGGCCTGGGAGTTGACAGGGTTTTGCCCTGGCCTTCTATTTTGGTGAATAAATTATGTTTTTGGATACTCTTTAGGACACGGGCAGGCAATTATTTCAGGTGGAGGGCCGCTTACCTAGTCTTGGCAAGCTGTCAAGGGCCACATGGGTAGCCCTGCCAGTTGACAGGTGCCCTGCTCCCTGGTAGTTATCTTGGGACCAGAAGTCCCACCTCCTAATCCCTGACATTTGCCATCGGAAGTCCCTCCCCTTGCCCCTGGAAGGTACTCCTTTCAGCAAGGGCTTTTGCCATCTCGGAACCAGAAAAATACCAAATTATATTCTAAAAAGTGAACATCTACAACATTCATTAATTTGATTTCAAAAAATATTTTGTCTTGATTTACACGTGTTTGTATATAGAGGTGACTGCACAATAACTTAAAATGAAGTCTTACTGTTATATATTATGAAGGGGTGGGTATTGCTTTGTGGGAGGCTGTGGGTGTGCGGGGTGAAGGAGCATGTGGGTGTGGGGGGTATGGGGTTCGTGTGGGCGGGAGGGTGGCTGGGGTGTGTGAGGGGTTGTGGGGGTCTGCCTGTATGGCAGTGTGAGGGAGGCTGTGGGTGCATGTGTATTGTGGGGTGTGCGTGTGGGACTCACGCTACGAG